TTCCTACCCAAAAAATAATTGTGTAGAATATGCTCCCACAAATTCAACATTTGGAGTAACTTCTCATAAGAGGTTATTTAATCTTATCTATTTATAAATGGGTCGGGTCAACTCACATGGAGTGACCCGTGATCCAAATTGGAAATAAATCCAACATCTCCCACTTCGCTTATGGCGGGCTGTACCCAAACCAACATCATGCCAATAACACACGTTATTCATAAGGACAAATAGTTCGTGCGACCTGCGAGCATCAACAGCTATAAAATATTTCAAACCCATTAAGGTTATTCTAAAGCTCTATATAGAAATCCAATCACATTCGAAAAGGATTCACTGTTAGAAATTCTGAATTTATAAGTGACTAGAACAGGAAAAAATAAATGAATAGAAATTGGCAGTATTATGTCCCGAGCCCACAAATTCCTTGTGTGTCCTTAAAGAATCTTATCCCCTCACTGTTGCCCAAGGTTAACGGATAAATTCTTCCCAGGATAGAACGGAACTTCCAACTTAGCGGTAGCGGCATTTCAAACCACTAAGTTATCAGCAAACTCAAAATAATGGTGCAAATCACACGACCGACTTACTTTGTTTTGAAAGTAATGATGCAGAAAGAAGAAGGAGATGAATCAGAAGATTTCAGGATGAAAAATTCTGAAGGAATGGCTGCCTATTTATAGCCAACGAATTTCTGGATTGAAAGGGTGTGAAAGTGGTTGTTCACACTGCAGGTGGCTATTCGTGAAATGCAGCCTTTCCGGTGGCTGTTTAACGCTGGAATATTTAAAATAGAATTAAAGACAGAAATTAATTTAATCCACCGTTACAAATAACGGTCACTCAAAATATTAATATAAAATATTAATATTTAATTAATTAATTTCATTTTGTTGGTCCAAAAAATTAAGTCAATCAATCATATCAATTGACCAAATCCAAATCCAAATCCAAATCCAAATCCAAATCCGAAGCCGAAGCCAAGCCGAGCGAGCGACGACGATGACGACGCGAGGCCCCTTCCTCTTAGCTCCTTTGAAGAGCTTAAGGAAGTGCTTCTATATTTATACCCAACAAAGTACTTGTCTTTAACCAATGAGGGATAAAGTGCAAAAGCCAAAGTTGTCTTTTCACCTTCTTCCCTCATTTCCCATTCACACTACCACACTTCAACCCCAACAATCCCCCACATGAATGGGGAATGATGAACATGCATGAAAAATTTTGTGTGATTCGCAACTAAGGACTAATTGCATCGGGATAAGTAGGTTTCCCTTTGAACTTTCTGTAGTGAGCATATATCGGATATACTCGGTCAATCGGTAGATTTGATATCTTTAAAGCATCGAACTTTAGTGTATACCTAGACAATATATGTCACAAAATTAATCCTTATCCATCTTTTGGTTCTCATTGTTGTGTTCGTTTTAGCCATGAACACCGCCTGGTTTCATAAGTGCGTAAAGAACTGGCCTTGCAACATTCTCCTTGAAGCGGCTTACACTTCACACTTATATAGGTGATTCGTAAACGTGTTATCCCGTAGATACACTATTTGATATACCCCATATCAAACTTAGAAATCATTAAAAAGTCCTAACGCTTTATCCTTGGTACTGAACATTGTCTGCATCACGAGAATGGACCAAAATTTTATTTGATAATGTTGAACCGTCACTAATGACTTTGTTTGATCTCCTTGAACCTAGATCTTGGTATCTCCAGTCTTCTAGGTAGAGTTACCGCCATAGTGACTTGTCCTCGACCATAGTCCCATTCCCTTTGATGACTTCTCAACCGCCTCTCTAGGTAGGCCTTTTGTAAGCGGATCCAATACATTATCTTTTGACTTTACATAGTCAATTGTGATAATTCCACTAGAGAGTAGTTGTCTAACGGTACTATGCCTTCGTCGAATGTGACAAGATTTCCCGTTATACATAACGTTCCCAGCTCTTCCTATTGCTGCTTGACTATAGCAATGTATGCATACAGGTGCCAAAGGTTTGGGCCAAAAAGGAATGTCTTCTAAGGAATTCCGGAGCCATTCAGCTTCTTCACCGGCCTTGTCTAAAGCTATAAACTCAGACTCCATTGTAGAGCGAGCGATGCATGTCTGTTTGGACGACTTCCAAGACACTGCTCCTCCACCAATGGTAAAAACGTATCCACTTGTGGATTTTGTTTTCGTTGATCCGGTGATCCAATTTGCATCACTATATCCCTCAATAACTGCAGGATAATTATTGTAATGCAATATATAGTCTTGAGTATATTTCAAATATCCCAAAACTCGTTTCATTGCTATCCAATGAACTTGGTTGGGATTACTTGTGTATCGACTAAGCTTGCTTATTGGACAAGCTATATCAGGTCGTGTACAATTCATAATGTACATCAAACTTCCCAACACTCGAGCATATTCTAATTGAAATTTGCTTTCACCTTTATTCTTTACAAGAATATGGTTTAAATCAATTGGCGTTTTTGCTTCTTTGAAGTCCAAATATTTGAACTTTTCAAGAACCACTTTAATATAATGAGATTGAGACAAAGCTAGACCTTGAGGAGTCTGTAGGATCTTAATTCCCAAAATTAAATCGGCAACTCCTAAGTCTTTCATATCAAACTTACTAGTAAGCATGCGCTTAGTAGCATTTATGTTTGCAATATCGTTACTCATTATCAACATATCATCCACATATAAACAAACAATGACTATTTGATTTGGAGTATTCTTAATGTAAACACATTTGTCACACTCATTGATCTTGAAACCATTTGACAACATTATTTGGTCAAATTTTGCATGCCATTGTTTTGATGCTTGTTTTAGTCCGTAAAGTGACTTAACAAGTCGACACACCTTCTTTTCTTTTCCGGTAACTCCAGACCCTTCAGGTTGTTACATATAGATTTCTTCCTCTAAATCTCCATTTAAGAAGGTCGCCTTTACATCCATCTGATGGATTTGAAGGCCATACACCGCGGCTAACGCTATTAACACCCGGATAGATGTAATCCTTGTTACCAGCGAGTATGTGTCAAAGTAATCAAGACCTTCTCGTTGTCTAAACCCTTTGACAACTAATCTTGCCTTATATTTGTCAATAGTACCATCAGCTTTCATTTTACTTTTGAAAATCCATTTAGAACCCAAAGGTTTATTTCCCGGAGGAAGATCAAACAATTCCCAAGTATGATTACTTAATATGGATTATCCCACTATTGACTGCATCTTTCCAATATTGTGCTTCCAAGGAAGACATTGGTTCTTTGAACGTTTGAGGCTCATTTTCCAATAAGAATGCCAGAAAATCTGGTCCAAAGGAAGTAGTTGTCCTTTGACGTTTACTACGTCTAGGATTTTCCTCATCAAACGTACTTTCCTTTGCTTCTTCTCGAGGTTGCTTAGATTTTTCATTAGACGACTCACATTCCATTTTATACGGATAAATATTCTCAAAAAATTCAGCATTATCCGATTCAATTACCGTATTAATATGAATGTCGGGACTTTCTGATTTATGAACCGGAAGCCGATATGCCTTACTATTTGTTGCATATCCTACGAAAACGCAATCAACGGTTTTTGGTCCAATTTTTACCCTTTTGGGTTTAGGAACTTGCACTTTAGCCAAACACCCCCGCACTTTAAAATATTTTAAGTTGGATTTCCTTCCTTTCCATTTTTCATATGGAATGGATTGTGTTTTGCTATGGGTAACTCGATTCAGTATTCGATTAGCTGTCAGAATAGCTTCCCCCCACAAGTTCTGAGGTAAACCAGAACTTATTAATAAGGCATTCATCATCTCCTTTAATATTCTATTCTTTCTTTCCGCAATTCCATTAGATTGCGGTGAATAAGGGGCAGTTGTTTGGTGAATAATGCCATTTTCCAAACATATTTCTTCAAAAGGAGATTCATATTCGCCGCCTCTATCACTTCTTATCATTTTGATCTTTTTGTTTAACTGCGTTTTAACTTCATTTTTGTATTGCTTGAATGCGTCTATTGCTTCATCTTTACTATTAAGTAAGTAAATATAGCAATATCTAGTACTGTCGTCAATGAAAGTTATGAAATACTTTTTCCCACCGCGAGACGGTATTGACTTCATGTCGCAAATATCCGTGTGAATTAAGTCTAAAGGATTTGAATTCCTTTCAACTGACTTATAAGGATGCTTAACATACTTTGATTCCACACATATTTGACATTTCGAGTTATTGCATTCAAACTTAGGCAATACTTCCAAATTAATCATTTTTCGCAAAGTTTTGAAGTTGACGTGGCCTAAACGTTCATGCCATAAATTATTTGACTCAAGTAAGTAAGAAGAAGCTGAAATTTTATTCATATCAATGGCAATTACATTGAGTTTAAAAAGGCCCGCAGTCAGGTAACATTTTCCTACATACATTTCATTCTTACTAACTACAACCTTGTCGGAAACAAAAACACACTTAAAGCCATTTTTGACTAGAAGTGATGTCGAGACTAAATTCTTCCGCATTTCAGGAACATGAAGAACATCTTTTAGAGTCACAATCTTTCCCGAAGTCATCTTCAAAGCTACCTTGCCCGTTCCTTCAATTTTTGCAGTAGCGGAGTTTGCCATAAACACTGTCTCGTTGGGTCCAGCGGGAGCATAAGAAGTAAACAACTCCTTGTTAGCACAAATATGTCGAGTTGCTCCCGAATCAATCCACCATTCACTAGGATTTCCGACTAGGTGGCATTCTGAAAGCATGGCACATAGGTCGTCTATTTCATCAATCTTCTCAATCATGTTTGCTTGACTTTTCTTCTTGTCCTTCTTTGGTGCACGACATTCAGTAGCCTTTTGTCCAACCTATCCACAGTTGTGGCAATTACCTTTGAACCTCTTCTTGTTTGGATAGTTCATTGATCCAGACGGCTTCTTTCTCTTTTTACTTGTTGAAGATTCCTCAACAACATTTGCACCCATTATTGTTGAATTTCCACGAGATTTCTACTCAGCAGCCTTGTTGTCCTCTTCAATCCGTAGACGAACAATAAGGTCTTCAAGCGTCATCTCCTTGCGATAATGTTTCAAGTAATTCTCAAAGTCCTTCCACAGCGGAGGCAGCTTTTCAATAAATGCCGCAACTTGAAACGCTTCATTTATGACCATACCTTCAGCAAGGAGGTCATGAACAATAACTTGCAATTCTTGGACTTGCGTTATGACAGATTTACCGTCAATCATTTTGAAATCCAGAAATTTGGCTGCCACAAACTTCTTTAGTCCAGCATCTTCAGTCTTGTACTTCTTTTCAAAAGCATTCCATAATTCTCTTGATGTTTTCATGAAGCTATAAACGTTGTACAAGTCATCTTCCAGCCCACTTAATATGTAATTCTTGCACAGGAAATCAGAGTGCTTCCAAGCCTCAGTAACAAGGAAGCGCTCGTTGTCAGGGGTTCCTTCAGGCACGACTGGAACATCCTCTTGAATGAACCTTTGCAGACTTAGAGTGGTCAGATAAAAGAACATCTTTTGCTGCCATATCTTAAAGTCAACACCAGAAAATTTCCCCGGCTTTTCCGCCGGTGGCATAGCCGTTGCAGGTGCAGTAGGACGACTAGGACCTAGCATCCCCGAAACTGTGGTAGCAGCAACAGTCACAGCAGGATCAATTTGTTCCTCTGCGTTAGTCATTTATGTCAATATGACACAAACAGATTCAGTAAATGGTGAAGTATTTAATCCTTCAACCCAAGACAACACAGTGAAGAGATTATTCTTCAAACTGATTTTAACACAGTGAAGAGATTATTATTCAAACTGATTAGGAGCAAAAAAAATCACACAGTTTTTTTAATCCCCAACAAATAGTAACGTTAGGAGTAGAAAGACACGAAGGTTTCAGTCTTCTCAATCACTTTGAAAATCAGAACAGCAAGGACATATATATAAATAAGATTCTTTAAGCTTATTAGAAATTCAGAATTTATAAATGACTAAAACAGGAAAAAATAAATGAACAGAAATTGGCAGTATTATGTCCCGAGCCCACAAATTCCTTGTGTGTCCTCAAAGAATCTTATCCCCTCATTATTGCCCAAGGTTAACGGATAAATTCTTCCCAGGATAGAACGGAACTTCCAACTTAGCGGTAGCGGCACTTCAAACTACTAAGTTATTAGCGAACTCAAAATAATGGTGCAAATCACACGACCGACTTACTTTGTTTTGAAAGTAATGATGCAGAAAGAAGAAGGAGATGAATCAGAAGATTTCAGGGTGAACAATTCTGAAGGAATGGCTGCATATTTATAGCCAATGAATTTCTGGATTGAAAGGGTGTGAAAGTGGCTGTTCACACTGCAGGAGGCTATTCGTGAAATTCTGCCTTTCTGGTGGCTGTTTAACGCGGGAATATTTAAAATAGAATAAGCCCAAGCCAAGCCGAGCGAGCGACGACGACGCGAGGCCCCTTCCTCTTAGCTCCTTTTAAGAGCTTAAGGAAGTGCTTCTATATTTATACCCAACAAAATACTTGTCTTTAACCAATGAGGGACAAAGTGCAAAAGCCAAAGTTGCCTTTTCACCTTCTTCCCTCATTTCCCCACTACCACACTTCAACCCCAACATTCACTACTAACACGAGGATCTCATTACTCGTTATACCCCAGACATTACCCGCTACTCCAGTAGCTAGTTATCCGACCCCTCATCCTTAAAAGAGGTGAACTCGAGTTCATGTTTAACTTTGCATCAATAATTACATTTGATACCTTCATGGTAAGTGTAATGGTCGACCTATGAATACAAGTTAAATTACTAAATTTTAAGTTGTCTTCCCTTTTTACTCGAATCTTTCCATTCCAAAACAACTGCTTTCCTAGACATGCACTGCATTGCCAAATCACTCATGGTTATTAGTAACATACTAAAGTAGCCTGATTGGCACTTCAAGAGACAGTAAAAGGTCAAAGTATATTTCAGTGAAAGTTAATGTCACTTCTTTGGGATCTCACACAAAGAAGAAGCAGGGATTCATTCTCTATTATCCCATTGGTAGATTGCACACGTGGTATGAAACACATGTTACAGTGTTCTCACCTTATATTGGCGTGTGTGTCTTATTCTTTTAATCATTCAAGACCGTACATATCTTGGTCTAGACACCTCCAAATGTCTAACCCTAATTCCTCACTTCAATAATCCTCAAACCATCGTCTTAGAGAAACTCGCATCCGGATTACAAAACAAGTCATAATCGAATAGTGAAATTCGTAAATCTGACTAGTTGTCATGAACGACCTCTACAAGTAAATAACCTCGCATTTTCCAAGGTTATATGAAGTCTCATCTCTTCACCAGTCTTAGCATAAGAGGTGATTGCTCATGTGAGAGAGCCAATCTCGCGACTTGTGCGACACACTTTATCAACAAAACATCATCACATGCATACGAGATATAAGTATAACTTCAAGAGTGAAATATTGATGAGCATATTAGAATACTAAAGTCATTTTACAATACATAATCATATCCTTTGCAAACCTAGAGCCATAACATGTTTCTCAAACGGCCCTCTAGATATCGTCTTAGTAAAAAGATCAGCTATCATGCTTCGCGTAGGAATTTACTATAAATTTATCTCTCCACTTGCTACCTGGTCCCTCACAAAGTTATACTTGATGTATATGTGTTTGGTCTTGCTATGATACTTAGGATCTTTTGTGTATGCAATAGCCTCTTAACTATCACAATATAGAGTCATCGGACCCTGCGAGTTCTTTGTAATATCCAAATGCTCAAAGAATATCTTCAACCAAACAACTTCTTGTACTCCAAACGCACAAGCCACGAACTCAGCTTCCATCATTGAAAGGGCTATATAGGTTTGTTTCTTACTTTTCCATGATATAGCACCACCATTAAGTAAGAAAGTATAACCAGATGTTGATTTTCTATCATTTCGGTCACCAGCTCAATCAGCATCTGTATATCCTCTAAAGTATAAATCATTTTCACTATAACATAGTGAATAATCTGCAGTTCCCTTCAGGTATCTGAAAATTCTCTTCGCAACTTTTCAATGATCTCTTCTAGGGTTGGATTGGTACTTGCTAACCAGACCTATGGCATAACAAATGTCTGGTCGAGTACACATCATAACGTACATCAAGGTCCCGACAACACTTGAATACGAAACTCAAGACATGTCTTCCTTTTCATTTTCAATCTTGGGACACATTTTAAGGCATAAAGTTACACCTATCGCTATAGGAGTATCCATGGATTTGCAATTATTCATGCGAAAATACTCCAAAATTTTCATTATATAAGTTTCATGAGATAAACTCAATAATTTTTTGGAACGGTCTCTTTGGATCTTAACTCCAAGGATATAGTCTACCTCACCCATATCTTTCATGTCAAATGACTTTGAAATCCATGACTTGATAGTTATCAAATACTCCAAATTGTTTCCGTCCAATAAAATACCATTCACGTAAAGAGAGAATTATAAACATCCTATTGGACTTCTTCACATAAATGTAATGGTCTTCACTGATCATGGTGAAATCACACGAGATAACCTCCTTGTGAAATCTCAAATACCATTGCCTTGAAGATTGCTTCAGGCCATAAATAGATCTTCTCAATTTACAGACCTTCTTTTCCTGGCCTTTAACGATAAAGCCTACAGGTTGTTCCATGTAGATTTCTTCATTTAGTTCTCCATTGAGAAAATCTGTCTTCACGTCCATTTGATGTAATTCCAAATCCAAATGTGCAGCAATATCCAAAAGTAAGAGAATTGAGAAAAATTTCATGACTGGTGAAAATGTTTCCTCATAATCTATTCCGGTTTCTTGAGTGAAGCCTTTCGCCACCAATTGTGCCTTGTATCTTTCTAATGACCCATCTGTTTTGCGTTAAATTTTGAAAACCCATTTGTTCCCAACAACTCTATGCCCAGCCGGAAGGTCAACTAGATCTCATACTTTGTTGGTTTTCATGGATTCTAATTCTTCTTTCATTGCTTTCATGCACTCATCTTTTCCAGGGCTCGATAAAGCCTTGGTCACAGACTTTGGCTCATCCATTTTACTTGTTGTGTTTCGCTTCTAATTGTTGCTTTTATATCTTAATGAGAGCACCGTACTACTGTTGTTATTATGCGCAGTTTTGTAGAGATATCGTACTCTATTAGTTCTCCACTCATACGTGTCCAAGTTATCTAGTCCATTAGGTGTCTTGACTGTCCCTCGTCACTACTCCACTGAGGTTAGTCTTGATACTTACTGGGTACCGCTGTGGTGTACTCATACTACGCTTCTACACATTTTTGTGCAGATCAAGGTATTTCGGAGTCAGTCGATCGCTAGCTAGCTATTCGGATCTTGCTGTGGAAACTCAAGGTAAACTTGTTGTTGCGTTCGCAGGCTTCGGAGTCACCTTCTGATATTGTACTTGCACTATTTTATCTCTATTTTGAAATAGTTGTATTTAGAGGCTTTTCAAACAAACTCAGTAGAGCTTATGACTTGTACTACCGACTTTGGGATTTGTAAGTCTTGTATAGAGATTTCTATTTCATATTTGTCAGTCTTTAGTTATATGTATGGTGAATAATTATGTAAATGTTTGGCTTACCTAGCAAGACTAGGTGCCATCACGACATCCTACGAAGGGAAATTTAGATCGTAACAAGTTAGTATCAGAGCTCTAGGTTTATAGGTGCTACAAGTCATAAGCGAGTTTAGTAGAGTCTTGCGGATCGGTACGGAGACGTCTGTACTTATCTTTGAGAGGCTATGAAACTATTAGGACAGTTTCACTTCTTTCATTCCTATCGTGCGAGTTTATTGATCTCGGATGTTGAGATTTTATCATTCTATTTTCTCATAGATGGTTAGTACACGAGCTGTAGTTACTGATCATGCTGCCCTTGGAGCAGGTGTCACTAGAGGCAGAGGTAGAGGTAAAGGCCTAAGAGGAGCACGTGTCGCAGCTAGGGCATCTACCAGAGCAGCAGTTGAGGAGCCGCCAACAGCTCTGGTGGGGCCACAGGTACTGGAGGCGCCTGTTGTTACCCCCGGACTTCAGGATACTTTAGCACAGTTCCTGAGCATGTTTGGTACATTGGATCAAGCGGGGTTGATTCCGGTTACACCAGCTACTTCATAGATCGGAGGAGGAACTCAGACTCCCACCATGCGCACTCAAGAGTAACGCATCCATGTTGGTCAGGTTCCAGGTGTCATGGTGACAACTCAGCCCGCGGTTAGGGCAGCAGCATCTGAGGAAGAACAACTTAGACTTGCGAGGTTCACGAAGTGTGACCCTCCTACTTTCAGTGGTTAGGCGTCAGAGGGTGCATAGGGTTTTCTAGAGGAGTGCCACCGTATTCTCCGCACTAAGGGAATTGTGGAGGAGAATGGGGTTGCTTTCACTAATTTCCAGCTTAAGGGAGCGGCATAGCAGTAGTGGCGAGCGTATGAGTCGGGTAGCCCGGCCGATGCTTCACTTTTATGGGCTCAGTTTTTAAAGATGTTCCTGAGATAGTTTGTTCCTCAGTCCCTTCGGATGCATGGCACACGGAGTTTGAGCAGCTGCACCAGGGCACTGTGTCAATGTTAGAGTATGCCATTAGATCCGGTAATTTGTTCAGATATGCACCTGCTTTTGTCGCTACAATT